GTTCTCTTACGAGAGGTTCTCTTGTATTGCGTAAGCTAGCTTACGCTACGGGAACACCTGGTCAACGCTGTGCGTGCTAAGCATCCACTATGAGTCCCAGGGGAGACCCCAGGGAACCCTTATGAGTGGGAATAAATATATGTACATGTGACAAAGGCCAGCAGAGCGGGCCGGAGATTGTGTAGTACATAAGCACATGATAGAGAGGGACAGAGCGAAACCGGTCCGAGTGAATAACTCCCTATAGTGCAGCTCAACCAGAAGAGCTGTAACATACTAGACTGCTAGTAGTTTAGCCTGCAAGGCGGGAACTTCCAGATTGTAAAATCTGACAAAGGTGGAGGGGGAAGCCCATCCCGCTGCCACACAAATGTCATGAATGGAAATTCCGCTGGACCATGCCCACGATGAGGCCATGCCTCTAGTGGAATGAGCCCTGATGCCCAGAGGGCATGGCAGGTCTTTTGATGCGTATGCGGCTGCAATGGCATCAACTATCCATCTGGATAGAGTCTGTTTCGAGGCGGCCAACCCTTTGGTGCGCCCACCGAACGAAACGAAAAGCTGCTCAGATCGTCTGACCGGAGCAGTGCGAGTAATATATAATCTCAGGGCCCTGACCGGACACAGGAGATTAGAGTCAGATTCGCTATCGGATGCAGGCAGAGCCGATAGGGAAATAACTTGTGCCCTGAACGGGGTACCAATCGCTTTTGGGACATAACCATGTCTAGGTTTGAGAACGACTAAGGAGTCATTGGGCCCAAACTCGAGACAGGAAGCGCTACTGGACAGCGCGTGAAGGTCTCCCACACGTTTTACTGACGCGAGCGCGAGCAGAAAAGCGGTTTTGAGCGAAAGGTATTTGAGGTCCACGGTGTTTAGCGGTTCGAATGGGGGGGCTTTCATAGCTTCGAGAACTATGGAAAGGTCCCAAATCGGCACCGAAGGGGGGCGCGGGGGGTTCATCCTTCTAGCTCCCCTGAGGAAGCGGATGACCAAGCCATCTTTGCCCAGTGACTGGCCGCGCCGGGGTTCAACGAATGCTGCGACAGCTGCCACATACACCTTGAGAGTGGACGGGGACCTGCCCTTGTCCAGCATCTCTTGGAGTAAAACTAGCAAGGAAGGGACCTCGCATGACCGTGGGTCCAAATTTCTGTCGGTGCACCATTTAGAGAACACAGACCATTTAGACGCATAGAGCCTTCTAGTAGAAGCCGCTCTAGCCTAAATGATCATGTTTAACACTCCCTCTGGCAAAGCAACGGGTAGTCGTTGATCACCCACGCATGCAGCGCCCAGCGCTCTGGGTGGGGATGCCAGATCGTTCCGCGAGCTTGGGAGAGGAGATTTGCTCTGACTGGAATGGGCCACGGGGCTGTCTGTGACAGCTGAGTGAGCTCCGGAAACCAAGTCTGACCCTCCCAACGCGGGGCTATGAGGAGCACCGAGTGGCGGGTTTCCCTGATTCTCTGAAGCACCTGTGGTAGCAGAGAAACCGGAGGGAATGCATAAAGTGGGCGGCTGGGCCAGGTCTGGGCTAGCGCGTCCTCGCTCTTTGAGAAAAATATTGGGCAGTGGGTGTTCTCTTCTGAGGCGAAGAGGTCCACCACTGCTCTGCCGAATATTCGCCACAGCTTTTGGACTGTAAGAGTGTGCAGGGACCATTCCCCGGGGGGAATGGGGTTCCTGGACAGACTGTCTGGACCGTCGTTCAGATGACCCGGCACGTGCGTCGCTCTGAGCGAGAGCAGGTGACACTGAGACCAAACTAACCGGAGACCACGGCTATATTGTCCGAACGGATCAGCACTTGGTGACCGTGAATGCGCGGAAGAAAGCGCGTGAGCGCGTTCTCGACCGCCAGCATCTCCAAACAGTTTATGTGGAGGAGACTCTCCTGAGCTGACCAGGGGCCGAAGGCCGGTGAGCCCTCGCAGACCGCACCCCAACCCGTGTTGGATGCGTCTGTCGAGATGACTTTTCGGCGAGAAAAGGTCCCCATGGAAACGCCCCGCTGAAACCATTCTGCCACGGTCCATGGCTGCAGAGCTGTGATACAGGTCTGCGTTACCTTTATCAACTGGCGGCCCGTGGTCCACGCGCGGTGAGACAGTAGCTCTCTCTGTGATTGTGCCAAAATCAGCCAGTCGTCCAAATAGTTCAGTATTCGCAGCCCCTGTCTCCGCAGGGAATGGAGAGATAGCGCTTTTCTGCGGCTCCGTCCACAACGCGAAGCGGGGCGGAAGAGTCAGAGCGAGTTCTGGCAGAGAGCGGGGCATTCCAGGACTTCGTGAGTTCCGCGTGCAGTTCAGGCAGGAAGGGCGCGGCCCGTTTAGTGACGGGAGTCGAGCGCTGGCGGAAGTAGCTGCCGTCCATACGGTTGATGGTCTGCTCCGGGGGAGGGGACCAATCGAGCCCGAGGCGTTCGACGGCCTGTGAGAGGAGGCGCACTAATTCCTCCTCGATTCCAGCGCGGGTCCCAGAGGATTCTCGGGCCGAGGAGGCGTGAGAACCGGACCATTCCTCACTGTCTGAAGCGAGAAGCGAACAGGTTTCCTTGATGTCCGCGCCGTCATCGGAGGCGACAGAGCGGCCACTCGGCGGCAACTGTACGTCCGGAAGCGACGGAGAAGGAGAGCGGAAGGCGAAAGGCTCCGGCGGGATGAACGCTTCCAGCTGGGGTTCCGGCGGCCTCTGAGAGCGGCGTTTCTTCTTCCGCGGCGAAGTCAGAGGCGGCGCGGAAGCAACTTTAGTGGCCTGAAGTCGAGCCCGCAGGGTCGACAACGGCATCTCCTCGCAGAGATCGCAGCCGCCATCGGCGAGGGCGAGCTCGGCGTGCTCCAATCCGAGGCAGAGAGCGCAGATGACGTGGTGGTCTCCAGTCTCGAGGGCAGCGCGGCAAGAACCGCAGGAGGATTTACGAGACATCTTTACAAAGACGCTCGGCTCTTTTAGGTACAATACAATACAATATAGGAAGCTTTTTCGTAAAAAGGATACAAATCCGTCGGATGGTGCTAGCTCGCAGGACGGCTGAAGGTGGCGAAGACGGCCGGCTTCCTCAGTCTCCCAGATGCTCGCTAGAGTTGCCTTTTCGACGACGGCGGCTTCTCTCAGGATCAGCAGATGCGTGTAGCCTCGCTGAAGAGATGAAAAATCAGAGTTTACAGCCTGGGAGGCGAATTTATACTCTCTGACCACGCCCGTTTCGGCGGGCTCTGACGCAATAAGAGCATGTCAGACTCCCATTGGCCGAGAGTTCATTCGCGTCCCCTCATAGGCTTAAGCAGTTCTCTGTGAGCGAACCAATGAGCTGCTAGCTAGCCTGCTCATGGTCTGCTGCAGCTGAACTGCGTTGACAATGGATACAAAATTATAGGATAATTTTTTGGCTTCAATTTCTCAGAAAAGATGAATCTTTCCCGTAGCGTAAGCTAGCTCACGCAATACGAGAGAACCTCTCGTAAGAGAACTAAAAGCCACAAAGCATCTTTAAAAGATCTGGTTGGTTTGAAACTTTAGCTTGTATGGTTAGTGGCTCAAGTTTGTGTTATATAATTGGTTTGTTTAATTGTCTGTGTTTTTTCAAATGGCATTGTGTTTCTCAGTATTCAGCTCCGCAGTTGAAGATGAATCCCTGGAGTGATGTTAATAGTAAATGATTAAGGACTCCTACTGTCTTGCAGAAGCAGTTTGAAGGAATTGTTTGACCAACATTAATCTAGTTTACTCCCCATGATATTACTCTAAATCCTTGTGTTTTCATTCATGAAACACACGGCTGGAGGGGAGGTTTGTGACTGTAACTGTCAATCACAAAAAGCACATTAAATGATGATGATCCATAAGTAGTCTGTGTGATTCATGTATTCATTAATTTAAGTAGTTTTGCTCTGTCAAAAACAGTCCAAAAATTCAGAGCCTCCCTTCTACATTGATATATGGAGTTACCTGTAGTTACAGTAGGAAGTTGGGTGTTTGCCTGGCAGATGTGTCTTCAGTCTAGGTTTAGACTGATTGTTTCTAGAGAAACCATAGCATGAGCAAATATTTAATTTTAAATGCATATTTGGTACTGTACTTTATTTTTTCTCAATGAGACAACTTTGCTCTTTCTGTCCTCTTTATTTGGTGCTTTTTCACCAGTTGATGTGGAATAATACTGTACTGCCCAGTTTCACAGACAAAGCTTATGCCTAGTCCCAGACTAAAATGCATGTTTGAGTTTCAACTGAAAGCAACTTGCACTGACATACATTCAAATATGTCAGTGCCATTTTTTTTTGTCTCAAGATACACACCAGTAATGTGTTTTTTTTTTTTCAAGGCATGTTTATAAACGCTACTTAAATGTACTAATTGAACAAAGGCTTAATCCTGGTTTATTCTAAGCCCTGTCTGTGAACCCAGGCCTTAATAAGAGTGTGTGTTGGGCCTTCATTCAGTGGAGGTCAATCACAAGAGATAGACATTAAAACTTTAGTTCTATGGGCTATAACATCAGCTTCTATGCTGATTAATTAATGAATCATTGATCTAATTAATTAGCAGATCCCAATGATGAGTTAATGAGTCATCCAGGTGGTACAGATTTATGTTTGGCTTTAAAAGACCTGGTTGTTTTGAAACTTTATCTTGTATGCTTACATTGGTTTTCTTAGTGTCTCAGTTTCTGTTATAGAATGGGTTTGATTAAAATTACTGTTTTGGTGGTTCTTTATCTTCAATTGGTATGGAACGGTGAGTTTAGTTTTCTTTGTTTTTTGCTTGTAGTAGCCTAAATATACTTGTCTGTATTTTTTTTAAATATCAATGTGTTTCTCAGTTTTCAGCTCTACAGTTGAAGATGGTTTTCTCCTTTTTTGTGTTTCTTAATCTAACATGCTCTACATGGTTATTTTGTTAATCGCAAAAACTTTCTTTCTCTCCCTCTCTGCAGACAATCAAGTTGGTGCATCCAGTTCTGTGAACGCCACGTTCAGCCAGGATGATGCTCAGGGTTCTGGTTCTGTGAACGCCACCTTCAGCCAGGATGATGCTCAGGGTTCTGGTTCTGTGAACGCCACCTTCAGCCAGGATGATGCTCAGGGTTCTGGTTCTGTGAACACCACCTTCAGCCAGGATGATGCTCAGGGTTCTGGTTATGTGAACGCCACCTTCAGCCAGGATGATGCTCAGGGTTCTGGTTCTGTGAACGCCACCTTCAGCCAGGATGATGCTGAGGGGTCCGGTTCTGTCAACGCCACCTTCAGCCAGGATGATGCTCAGGGTTCTGGATCTGTGAACACCACCTTCAGCCAGGATGATGCTCAGGGTTCTGGTTCTGTGAACGCCACCTTCAGCCAGGATGATGCTGAGGGGTCCGGTTCTGTCAACGCCACCTTCAGCCAGGATGATGCTCAGGGTTCTGGATCTGTGAACACCACCTTCAGCCAGGATGATGCTCAGGGTTCTGGTTCTGTGAACACCACCTTCAGCCAGGATGATGCTGACTATGAGTGGTCCGGTTTTGGGCCACACATCCACTGACAGATATTGCAATTCTCCCTAGACTAGAGAATAAGGAGTTTTGCCAATATTAACAGGAGGTTTGTGACTAACTGTCAATCACAAAAAAGCATATTAAATGATGATCCATACGTAGTCTGGGGTTTCATGTTTTCACTGATTCAAGTTGTTTCGCTGTGTCAAAATAGTTCTGCCATGCAAAGGCAAAAGGCCGTAACTTCGTTTTTTTGTCAAAGTTATTGTTGGCACATTCAAGTATATTGAGTCGATTTGTTTTTTTTTTTTGAGAAAATAATGGGTTGTCTTCCCAGCAAACACAGAACGTTGTACCAATATTCTAACAACATGGTCAAAAGGTTGCTATAACTACGTTGTGTGGTAAGGTTGTTACAGCGTTGTCACAATGTTGACATTGCAACACCGTTCAGGGCCATTGCTTAGGGTTGTGCCTAGGGTGTCTGGACAACCACTGGACGACATTTGTACTCGTCACTGCCCTGAAACGCGACAGCCTTTAAAATTTCAACTGACCATTGGGCCATCTCATTCTTCCTCGCGCAAGGATACGTGAGTATTGCGTTTAATCTACCTCCGCTAAATAAGACGTGTAATTCAAACACAACCTACAACTTCCTTGTTTACTGTGACACTTATTTGAACATCTTCTGGTCAGGTATGACAAATATTTTAACTTTATGGCAAAACTAATTGACATTTTCAGCATTCTTTGAACAGACAGCGCTTAAGCGCAGCGACTTTTTGCACGTTCATGTTTTTTGTTAGATTTTCTCATGCTAGTTAACGTTAGTCACTCCCTGTATCCTGTCATGTGAAGCTCCAATTTGCTTTGTTCTCTGCCAAGTTTACCTGTGCCTGCAGTGCCACCCTCTCTGGTCCCGGATTTTCTACCTGGTTTCGGACTCGTGCCTGTCTACTGGTTTCTGGGCTTGCATCTCTCCTCTGGATTTGTTGAAGTTTCCTGGACTGATTCTGGTTGCGGTCCTGTACAGAACCCGATTTTTAACATTAAATGATCTGATCTGCCTTTGCTTTTTGTTTTATTATACTTGAAATTTGTATATTCTTTAGGTTTTTTTTATTTTATTTTTTTCATAAATGTATGACTTTTGGAAGTCCAATTTGATTACCATGCAGTTTTAATAAAGTTGAGTTAGCTAACATATGTAATTTTTACTTTTCAAAAGTGTACACTTGCAGGTGTTAATTAATTTACAGTTAAGCCTGTAAATAATCATAAGGATAAACAAAATTTCATAATTATCTGACTAATTTAAGATTAACCACATAACATGTTAAATGGGGGATATCTATATCTTGCATAAAAAAAATGTCAGAACGTTGTCTCGCAGTTGCTGAATGTTGGGCAACAACGTTGCTACAGCCCTGTCACGTTGTTACAATGTTGCCATAGTAAAAATGCAACGTGCCACAGACGTTGCTTGCCACAGCGTAAATGAGTTTGCTGGGTTAACAGTAACTTCCAAAAGGCCACGAGGAAAACAAGGCAGAACACAATAACACCAGTTACCGCTCTTTGGCTTTGTTTTAGAACGCTCAAATTGAGTTACAGTGCTCTGCCTTTGTTTAGCTGTGTGTCAATACAAAACATGGTCCGGATATTCGTATGGTCTGAACCTGCTCCATCGACAAACGTGCGATATCAATCACAAAAGATATATGCAGAGTTGACAGAAAAATGGTACTCATGCTGTAGCAGGTGAATACAACAAAGAATTTGCACCTCACCCAGGGCGGGTATCGGACCTGTGTGAAACACACATACATCTAGCTGGCAGTGTGCCAAAACTGCGCAGGTGCCTTCAACCAGTAGTATGTTCCTGCACAACCGGAGGCTGCAGTTTCAGGACCCTAGTTTTTTGTGACAGCGCCACCTACCGAACTGGATGATATAGCGGCGGCTGAGGTTTCAGGACCGCAGTTCTAGGATCCAGGTGGTTTAGTTTGTAGTATCAAGATCCACCTATTATCTTAAGTCTTGTTAGAAAAAAAAAAAAACATTTTAACAAATAAGATTATGGAATAGAAAAGCTCCTGCAGGAGGTTCAGTAGAGCAAGTAGCATCAAGCTACATGACTCAATTTAAAATATTAATATTACACTTTTACTTAAAGCTCACTTTAAACCACCATCGAGTATTTGTATCATATTCCTGTCACGGTTTAAAATGGTTTTAAGTCAAAAAAAGATGTTGAAATATGTTATATTTAGCATTTTATATGCAGCTAATGGCTACACCTTGCTTAGCAATACTGTAAACATTCTTTTTTCATGAGAAAATATCCAAAATCACACACAAACCACATATACTCGAAATCATGCATTTATTAGCTTCTTGTTTCAGGTGAAGAGATGTGTCTTAGCTTTGTTATCACGGAGGTCAGAATGAGGAAGTGTACACAGCATACACAGGAGCGCATCATGCAGAAGGGCAGGATTTATTGTCACGTTGAACCACGTGAGATGATTGACAGCTGTATAGTGAATAAGAGAGCACTGAGATCATAACTGACGCTGACGGGTGCTGTATATTGTGTATGTGAACACAAATAAACCGGAGAAGACGTGAATGACTGCTTTATGAGTGATGATTTCTATTCAAAATAACAAACTTTACAGATTAATAATTTTACTCTCCTGTCATAAATTAAGAAATGAATGTCACTGCAAACCGACGAGGGACTATGTCACAAGGAGTGATAATAATGTGCATACAACATAATGAAGCAACAAAGTGTACTGGTGCATACAACATCAAACCAACTGTTACATGCGGGTTATACAGAAATCATAGGGCTTCTTTACACTGTCAGTGAAATGTGACCCAATTCCGATTTTTTGCTCATATGTGACAGATCGGATGTGTTCTATGACAGTGTAAAAAACGCATGCATTCAGATATTTTGAAATCGGTTTCAGGCCTCGTTCATATGTGGAAAGAAATCAGATATGTGCCAATGCGACTCATGTAAATAGGCAGATCGGATTTTCTGAGGCATTAGGCTACGTCTCCGTGGTTTAATGACAAAAATAGTTCTCTCACGAGAGGTTCTCTCGTATTGCGTAAGTTAGCTTACGCTACGGAAAGATTAATCTTTTCTGAGAAATTGAAGCCAAAAAATTATCCTATAATTTTGTATCCATTGTCAACGCAGTTCAGTTGCAGCAGACCATGAGCAGGCTAGCTAGCAGCTCATTGGTTCGCTCACAGAGAACTGCTTAAGCCTATGAGGAGACGCGAATGAACTCTCGGCCAATGAGAGTCTGACATGCTCTCATTGCGTCAGAGCCCGCCGAAACGGGCGTGGTCAGAGAGTATAAATTCGCCTCCCAGGCTGTAAACTCTGATTTTTCATCTCTTCAGCGAGGCTACACGCATCTGCTGATCCTGAGAGAAGCCGCCGTCGTCGAAAAGGCAACTCTAGCGAGCATCTGGGAGACTGAGGAAGCCGGCCGTCTTCGCCACCTTCAGCCGTCCTGCGAGCTAGCGCCATCCGACGGATTTGTATCCTTTTTACGAAAAAGCTTCCTGTATTGTATTGTATTGTATCTAAAAGAGCCGAGCGTCTTTCTAAAGATGTCTCGTAAATCCTCCTGCAGTTCTTGCCGCGCTCCCCTCGAGGCTGGAGACCGCCACGTCATCTGCGCTCTCTGCCTCGGATTGGAGCACGCCGAGCTCGCCCTCGCCGATGGCGGCTGTGATCTCTGCGAGGAGATGCCGTTGTCGACCCTGCGGGCTCGACTTCAGGCCACTAAAGTTGCTTCCGTGCCGCCTCTGACTTCGCCGCGGAAGAAGAAACCCCGTTCTCAGAGGCCGCCGGATACCCAGCTGGAAGCGTTCATCCCGCCGGAGCCTTTCGCCTCCCGCTCTCCTTCTCCGCCGCTTCCGGACGTACAGTTGCCGCCGAGTGGCCGCTCTGTCGCCTCCGATGACTGCGCGGACATCAAGGAAACCTGTTCGCTTCTCGCTTCAGACAGTGAGGAATGGTCCGGTTCTCACGCCTCCTCGGCCCGAGAATCCTCTGGGACCCGCGCTGGAATCGAGGAGGAATTAGTGCGCCTCCTCTCACAGGCCGTCGAACGCCTCGGGCTCGATTGGTCCCCTCCCCCCGAGCAGACCATCAACCGTATGGACGGCAGCTACTTCCGCCAGCGCTCGACTCAGCCGCCGGCCAAGCAGCCTCTGCACTCCACTCCATGTCCGTCCTTCAGATTCTACAGGGCGATTTACTTCTGGGACGATTTACTGGGACGAGAGCGGAAAAAATCCCCCCTCAGTCGCGGATTTGAGGAGCGCCACGGACATTGCCCTTCGCGCTACAAAATCTGCTGCTCAAGCCCTGGGGAAATGCATGGCCGCCATTTGTGTGTCTGAAAGACATTTGTGGCTCACACTCGCCGACATGGGAGATTCTGAGCGCGCCGCCTTTCTCAACGCCCCGCTCTCTCCATCCGGCCTCTTCGGATCTGCTGTCACGGGTATCGTTGACCGTTTCTCCGAAGTGCAGAAAGCCTCCCAGGCCATGAATCTCTTTCTGCCTCGTCGCACTAGCTCCTCTGCAGGCCGCTCACGTGACCAGCCTCCTGCACGAGCCCCACCCAAGCGCCCAGCTCAGCACAGTCAGACTTCTCAGCGACGCCAGGGCGGCCGCCCTCGTTCTCGCTCTGACAGCCGCCACAGACCGCCGCCTCCCCGGGGGCCTCGGCCTAGGATCACGCTGAAACCTGATCACTCGAAGTCTGCCTAGCACAGCTGAGGAAAAGACGGCGCTCTCCCGCCGCGGCCGGACCGCCGTCAAAGTTTCGCCCTCTGTTAGTCCCCGATCACGCGGCTACTACAGCAGTGTACCCCGCCATTACCAAGCCGGTCCCCTTTCCCGCTTGCATGAGCACAAACGCCGTTTTCACGGCGACCCAGAGAAATCTCAAAAAGAGCATAAAAGCCTCCTGTGTAGAAAAAGTGCCCACAACACTGTGTTCACTCATACACAAAAGCATTTCAGTTCCCGTGTTTCTCACAGAGCCCACTCTCATAAAGCGGTCCCAACCCGCTCAAGTTTCAGAGTGCATAAGCCCCACCTCTGCTCACTCTGTTACACGGCCCTTAAACTCCTCTCTGAGTGTAAGTCCCGCTGTCATAAACACTATGAGCGCGCCCGCGCAGCCCGCTATGTGCAGCAACGGGGACCATGTAGCCATTCACCCCTTAGCGTTACGCTTCAAAGCGTGGGAAGCTATTCCGGGAATTTCCCAGTGGGTGCTAAACACAATAAGGCTAGGCTATCGCTTACAGTTTCACCGCCGCCCTCCACGTTTCCGAGTGCGGCTAGAAACTATTGTGAACCCAGAAGCAGTGACTCTGCTCCGTTCAGAGATAGCAAAACTATTGTGCAAAAGGGCTATAGAGAGAGTTCCTCTATCTATGAGCGAGTCGGGGTTTTACGGCCGTTATTTTCTGGTTCCAAAGAAAGACGGCGGCCTCAGACCAATCTTAGACCTCAGATTTCTGAACAAAGTTCTCATGAAGAGACCGTTCAAAATGCTCAATATCAGAAAACTCCTCGCGCATGTGCGCCAGGGGGACTGGTTCATTTCACTAGATCTGAAAGATGCTTACTTTCAGATTCAGATAAATCCCCTTTACAGGCCATTCTTACGTTTCGCCTTCGAAGGCCAGGTTTATCAATACACCGTCCTTCCGTTCGGCCTATCCCTTGCACCCCGCACGTTCAAAAAGTGCATGGATGCGGCGCTCGCCCCCCTGCGGAGTCATGGGCTGCGAATATTGAACTATTTGGACGACTGGCTGATTTTGGCACAATCACAGAGAGAGCTACTGTCTCATCGTACAGTTCTCCTCGACCATCTGAAAGCTTTGGGCCTCTCTGTCAACTGGACAAAGAGCGCACTACAACCCAGTCAGACTATCTCCTTCTTGGGTATAGAGCTAGACTCGGTCACGA